CCACAATGTCAAAGGCCACATAAAAGTTAAAGAAAAGTTCAGGATTAAGGAAAGGCCATTAATTTTGGCAAATAGGAGAGCATTGCCAGGATTTGGAAGGTAGGCTCCAGGTCCTGAAGGTAGGTAGGTCTCTACCCTGGGTTCCGGTGGGGAAACTAACCTTACGTCAATTTCATGCAATAGTTGGAGGAAGTAACTGTAAGATACTAAATGAAATCTTCCTATTGGTAAAGGAAAATTAGCAATAGACATTTCTCAGCTGGCTGACCATGTTAGAGGTTAATTAGGAGGCTGTGGATTTGGTAGGGACTCTAGAAGTAATCTAATTCTAGCCCTACCTTTTACGGTCAAAGGCAAGAGACAGAAGGCAAGACAGAGGGCAAGAGAGGTGAAGCAGATTGTCCATAATGACATGAAGATGTAGCAGCTAGAGTTCTGGGCTTGGAATCTAGAGAAACATGCCTTAGAATCTTGCCTCAGACATTTACTAACTATGAACCTAGGCCAAATCATTTAACCACTGTGAGTCTCATGTTTCTTTATCTGTAAAATGGGGGGTAATAATAGCAAGAAAAAGATGAGGATTTTGTGAGCATTGAGTAAGAATGTAAGTATACAGAGTGGTGGTAGTGTTAAGTGACAGTGCTGGGATTCAAACCTAAGCCCTCTCACTTCCTAGACTGTATTGTTTGGAGCATTGAAGATTTCCACTCTTTCAGAGTTTTGCTGGGCATTTCTTGCACAGGTTCCTTACTCAGGAGGCTAACCTTGTGGCAAATACACACTTCTTTGAAGAAGCTGTCCTATCCTAGATGTTATGATTTTGCCTCTCCCTATCCTGCTTTGTCCCAGACACCCCTAGCTTCTACTAATTATTTGACTGGTAAATATACTCTTAAAGCATGTTTGGTGAAAAGGAATTTAATGTTTTTCTGTTTTCCTGCAGATAAAAAAGCAGTGGGCCATTACTTTATCATGCTTGCATTGCTATTGTGAAATTAAAAAAAAAACTGATAACAAAGTTTAGACTTACCCTTATTCTGTTAATTTATGTGGATGTGCATTTTACTTTTATATCCTCAAATGGGTACTTAAATGCCAAAAAGTAAAAGTAATGTGTAAAGATTAAGGGTGTATGTTTGAGCTTGTTCTAACAAGTGGCTCTAAAGGACCAAATCTGGTTCTCTGGTTAAATGGTTAGAAAGGAAATTGCTTGGGGTGTTGGTCTTGGGGAGCCAAAGTCAGTGTCTGATAATGGGCATGACAGTGAAATCTGACCCCAGCCCTAAACATGCTCTTTTGTTTCCTGCTTTTTTCTCCTCTCATTCTGGCTTCTTTGCCTTGTTCCTTGTTGCCTTTTTTTTTTTTTTCCTTAAAGAGTCACCAGATCTTCTCTTGGCACATAGTAAGTATGCTTGTTGGCTGATTGACTTTTTAAAAAAATTTTCCATAGATTTATTAAACATTAATCTTTCATATACATTTGATGTTATGTCTAGTATATCTAGCTAATTCATTGATCTCTCCTTTTTTTTACCTATTTTCAGTTATTTTTTTTTACATTTGTATTTGAAGTTTTGAGTTCCAAATTCTACCCTTCTTTCTCTCCCCTTCCTGCTGCTTGTGATAATAAGTAATCAGATATAGATTATACATGTGTAATTATATAAAACATTTCCATATTAGTCATTTTGTAAAAGAATACTTGAATAAAAAATGAAAGAAAGAAAGTGAAAAATAGCATGCTTCTGTCTGTATTCAAACAATATCAGTTCTTTCTCTGGAGGCACAAAGTGTGCTTTATCATTGGTGCTTTAGGATTGCTTTGGATTGCTGTATTACTGAGAATAGCTAAGTCATTCACAGTTCTTCATCAAATAATACATCTGTTATTATGTATAATGTTCTACTGGTTCTGTTCACTTCAATATGCATCAGTTCATGTAAGTCTTCAGGTTTTTCTGATATCATCTTGCTTGTCGTTTCTTATAGCACAGTAATATTCCCATTCAATCGTATACCACAGCTTGTTTAGCCATTCCCCAATTGATGGGCATCCCTTCAATTTCCAATTCTTATCCACCAGAAAAGAGATGCTGTATTGTACGAATAGATCCTTTTCCTTTTGTTGATGTCTTTGGGATATAGATCTAACATGGATATTGCTGAATCAAAGGGTATGTACAGGTTTACAACCCTTTCAGCATAGTTCCAAATTGCTCTCCAGAGTGGTTGGATCAGTTCACAACTCCACCAAGAGTACATTAGTGTCCCAGTTTTCCCACACCCCATCTAACATTCAAAATTTATATTTTTTTGTCACGTTAGATAATCTGATACATGTGAGGTGGTATCTCTGAGTTGTTTTAATTTGCATTTCTCTAATCAATAGTGATTTATAGCATTTTTTCTTTTTTATCATTTTTTTTCATGTGACAAGAGATAGCCTTGATTTCTTTGTCTGAAAACTGCCTGTTCATATCTTTTGACCAGAAATAAGTGTCACAATTTTTTTTTCCATTTTTCTGCTTTTTTATAATTTTGGTTGCATTGGTTTTGTTTGTGCAAAACTTTTTAATTTTGTGTAATCAAAATTATCTATTTTACATTTTGTAATGCTGTCTACATCTTCTTTGGTCCTAAATTCTGCCTTTATCTATAAATCTGACAGATAAACTATTCTATGATCTCTTAATTTGCTTATGGTATCACCATATCATCTTCAAAGATTGATAGTTTTATGGCTTTCAGGTAGTCCAGTAATTTTTGTATTATCTTTCCTGGATCTGTTTTCTATGTCAGTTGTTTTTCCATTGAGAAATTTTACATTTTCTTCTTTTTTTTTTTACTTTTTAAAAATTTTGTTGTATTGTATCTTGATGTCACATAGAGTCATTAGCTTCCACTTGCTTAATTCTAATTTTTAAGAAATCATTTTCTTTGGTGAGCTTTTGTACTTCTTTTTCCATTTGGCCAATCTATTTTTTTAAGGGAGTTATTTTCCTCAGTAAATTTTTATATATCTTTACCCATGCTATTGACTCTTTTTTCATGATTCTCTTGCATCACTGTCATTTCTTTTCCAATTTTTTTTCTATTTCTCTAATTTGCTTTAAAAAATCCTTTTTAAGGGGGCAGCTAGGTTACACAGTGGATAGAGCACTGGCCCTGGAGTCAGGAGGACCTGAATTCAAATTCAGTCTCAGCTACATAACACTTACTAACTGTGTGACTCTGTGCAAGTTACTTAACTCCAATTGCCTTGCCCCCCCCCAAAAAAATCCTTTTTAATCTCTTCCAGGAATTCTTTTTAAGCCTGACAGCAAATTACTATTTTTTTTGAGGCTTTACATGTAGCCATTTTGACACTATTGTCCTCTTCGAAGTATATGCTTGATCCTCCTGTCACCATAGTAACTTTATATAGTCAAGCTGTTTTTGTTTTTTGTTTTTTGGTTTTTTTGCTTATTTTTCTGCCTTTTTTTGTGAGTTGGTGTTTTTATGTGAGAGTTGGAC